TTAATCTCTTACTTAAAAGATTAGAATTCAAGATGGCCGCCGTATCAGTAAAAAGTTCTATTGCAGCAATAGATGAATACAAATATTAACATCAACATTATAATATATATCACTAATATCAAAGATATCTTTTAAACTTGAATGCCAACAACACTCTAAATTGTTACCTTTTCATTTATCGAATTTCAGAGAAAAACAGACGAAAATGTTCTTAGCGAAATCCAGAAATCCATGTGTAAGAATTAAAATCAGCAAATAAATGTTCTCAATCAACAAAATGGATTTTACTTTAATATGTGTCCATTAAGGAGGTTGGAAAATGTTTTGTACCTTCACATTATGAACTAAAAAATCATTATGGCTATAATATGACAGCAAGTAGTAAACCTGGAAAGCCAAAGACCATAAACCAAAGATCACAATGAACATGAAAAAATGACGTCAGACGTTGCTATGACAACATCAGAACCCTTGCTCTGCCATCAAAAATGTTTAAATTGTGATGAATTTTTTAAAAACCGTAATATTTTAACTTTGTATCGTAATCTGCTTTTTGACAAAAAAAGAAAAATTCTGTAAGAGGGAATTCGTAAAAATCAATAAAATTTGTTTGGAATAGTTTCCTCTTACAGAATTTTTATAATAGTAATAATTATTATTTTTTTGCTTCATAATGTGAAGGTACAAAACACCAGCCTCCTTAAACAATAAATATCTATATCTATATATATATATATATATATTTTTTTTTTTTTTTTTCTCATCACGTACAGTGCTCCTCAACGGCACGCACGGAATCGTCCTCGTGACGAAGTAGGTTTTGGTGGACATTCCATAAGCATGTACTCTTGAAGCTTTGTGTTTTACGAATTTGTCATGGAAACACTTTGATTGACCCATATCCCTTTCGGTCCCGTTGCGTAGGCTTGAGCTGGTCGACGACAACGATTTTTGAATCGACTATACACTCAAGTGAAGAATCGTTGTCGGGTTCAGAAACATAGAACATAGAAGCTGAGACTGAAATGGCACATGGGAAATGACACAATGATATTATAATTTATTCATTTGCACCATCCATGCAGTCGGTTTAGAACGCCAAACGCGTCAGTAAAAACAGTGGATGATCGATGCCACGGGTCGCCGGTCACGGCGTGCATCTAATTAACGTACTTCGCATGTGAGTTTTCGGTCTCAGCTTCTATGTTCTATGTTTCTGAACCCGACAACGATTCTTCAATTGAGTGTATACAAGTATATCACAACATAGTATAATGCATGTATGTATGCATGGTGACATCAGAAACTGAGTGCACTTTATAATTATATCAACGCAATAGAACAAATCGCGATGCGATACAAGCCCAATATTTGAATAACAATCCACAGCTTTCCACTTTTGTATTCCATTCTTTTCGTTTATCATATTTTAGGTTTTTGATATATCGAGAAGTTGTCCCGTTGATATCGAGTGAAAATTTAAAGCGACAGAGCAAAAAACAGCCAAGGTATATATCATTTAATACAAAAATATCCCCATACATTTTCTTTTGATTTTTGTTGCATCTAGCATGATTGATTCCAGTGCGCGCAAAATGTTTTAGAGAAAACATAAGGAGATCACTGGAACTTAAATTACTACCACAATCTCGATGCTTCTGACGCCGGTTGCATTTCCAAGTCAACAAGGCTAAATAGATATGTATTTCTGAAAATAATAAGAGAAATTAAAAATTTATTCGTTTTTGACGTCTTTAATCTTAGATATAACGTAGAACAAAATTTCTTTGGGACCTTATATCAAATAGAAAACTGAAAAATAAAATATGAAGAAAATCTTTAATTATATCTTGCTCCTTATAATTGTCATCCAAGCTTTTCAGGTTTGCCAAATCGGTGAGTAAGATAATGGTTAATATATCGTTTTTGCATTTAAAGTTAAACTGTTTTTAAAAAAACCTTCCCCATTCCTCTTCGACCTAAATCCAAATTTTATCGAACCCTAATACAACCTCTGGGCTGCAGACCTAGCTCATCATTTACTCTCAATGCAATAATATTATTTATAGTTTACCTTGAAGTGATTTCGTATCACTTCATTAATGCGACTTTTATTTTACATGAAGACAGAAAGATAATTTCAACTTTGGCAACACCTTGCGATTTTGTAATCTGAAGTTAAACTTTTACAAATCAAAAGGACGATCTTTTTCCCAGCGTTGCGCAAATAGAGCAACAACAAGGTCTCTTGAGTAAAATCCTGAAATTTTTGATTGCAAATAGTCTCGTGTAACATCGCTGTGATTGTGGATCGTCGTGGATTCGATCCCCGGAATCGAAATTTAATTAACATGTGAGGAAAGTTGCTTGTTGGCTCTCTCTACTGTGCACCGAGGGTTTTTCTTCGGATTCTCCGGTTATATCTCGCTGTTTTTGATAAATTTAAATTAAATCAAATAAAAACTATATCAGTCTCTTGGTAATCTTTAGATTTAAAATATGAGTGTTCACGCCRAGTAATTTTCCCCAGGTTAAAGCTGGATTGGATTCCGTTTGTATTTTGATAATGATAACGATTTGATATGAAAAAGTATGCGRGCCAAAGTTTGGTAATCCTACAAAATCAAACTAGGTCCTCATTATTAGTAATRCATCTTTATAATTTTAATCTTAGTGTTATTTAGTATTTAAAAATGTCAATGTGCGATAAACTCAAATAAAAAACTGTATTTGAAGAGCAAAAAATTCAAAAAATATATTATTGTTTTTCATGATTTATTCAGTAATGTATAAAGGGATTTGAAAGCACGACACACCTGGACTTATAAAGAGGTCTTCAATAACAAATGCTAGACAAAATA